TACCTGAAGTCAAGGACTTTTCATTGTCTGATGCTCTGCCAGCAAGCAGGGAACAGGGCCAGGACAGCCAATCCAAGCTGGCCAAAGGGATATTTCACACCCATAGAAGGTTGTGCCTTGTGTATAAACTGGGGGAGTTTGGGAGGGGCCAGTGCTGCTGGGGGCTGGGCTGGGCAGTGGTCAGCACATGGTGGTGAGCAACTGTGTTGCCCATCACTGGTGTTTCTCAGGTTTTATTTCTCTCTCTCCCCTCCTCCCTTACAATTATTACTTTGTTTCAATTATTTAACTGTTCTTATCTCAACCCCCAAGTTGTACTTTTTCCAATTCTCCTCCCCAGGGCAGTGGGAGAGGACAGAGAGTGAGCCAGTGGCCATGAGGTGCTTAGTTGCCAGCTGGAGTTAAACCACAACACAAAGGGATCTCTTGACCTCTACTTTGTAAATAGTTTCCATGTATTATATGCTGAAAATAGAAACTGTGTGTTTAGATCTAGTCAATCTAACTGTCTGTGATGGCTTTTTAAAAAAGTCAAACCCCAAAAAAACCTTAAAGATAAAATAACTTATAGATTTGATTTTTGCTGTGTGAAGACTTATGTTTTGTTCATACATACAACATGCAGCAGTACAGGATTCACTCTTGCAGCTTGGAAGAACTATTCAAATAATGACCTTGCTACCACTTCTAGTACTTATGTCTCCCACCATTGTTAAGGGCTCAAACTCTCTTGCAATTCTGATTTACTAGGACCTTGAAATTGTATTAGATTTGCCAAAGCCATCTCTAAGTGTGTAGTCATGCAAAATTAACTAACCTGACAGAATAAATCTTCCTGTGATTAAGGCTTAAGCAGTGTTTTATTTTCTAATATAAAATGACAACTTCTCTTCCAGAATGAAGCATCTCCCTCTGTAGCCTGCATAGATTTCATTCTAAAGAAAATTGGTGCCAGTACAGCTCAAGCTGTAGTAGCCAGACCATAATTGTTCGTGTTTGTTTATATATATAGTTTCTCAGCTAACAGCTGTTACAAATAGTTCCACAGAAGCTGAAGCATTTGTGTCAGTAGTTCAGTTACTGAAATTTATATCTCACCACCTCATTACAGAATCAACTGAAACCTGTTGAGATTAACAGTTCATCATCTGCATGTTCACTGATGCAGTGTAGAATCATGTGTTTGTGCCTATGCTTTTGGCTATGCAGGTCCATCACTACAGAGTGAGGGAGGATTTTTTTCTGCAGAAGCTTTTTGGATATGACAAACAAGTAGTTCCTTCTTGGTGTATCATTGTTGTAACATCTCAGCACTAAAATGTAGCTCAGCAAAGGAGTTTGGCAGTTAATGTTGACAAACACTGCTCAGCTGCCTCAGAGTTGATGATCATAGCCTAACTATGCTCACCATACAGGTAAGAAATTCCTCACACCATTGAAATCAACCTGCAACTCTGTGTTTATTAAGTTACGATTGGTGCCATGTTCAGTAACTCCATTGGATGTACTGCTGTTTGGTGTACAACCTGGAGAGATCACTTTAGAATCTCCTCAAATTTGGGCTCTGAAGGAAGAAAGGGACAGAGAGAAAAGTAGTATTAGTCTCCTTTTATTCCATCTTCAAACACGATAATTCATTTGCAATTCAAAGAAAGCTACCCATTAAGTCAGCAAGCTCTTGCACATTGCAGTCACACCCCCACTTACCTTCATTGTCTCGAGGTCTGACTGAATAGGAGCAGCACTAAAGAATAAGCTACACTGGAGACAGGATTTTTTGCCTCTTGGAAAGAGTTGTGCATATAGGCTAAGATTCACTAACATTCTGCCAGAACAGCTTTTAGCAACACCTGGGGTAGAGGCAGCAGAGAAACTGAAGAAGTCAACCAGAATATTACTGGACATGACACTAGTATTTCCAACATGGCTCTGATACAAGAACAAGCAACCACACTCTTCTCCCATCTTAATCAGTGTGTTATTACTTGATATTAACAGAATAGAGTGCACAATTTCAACTCCACTCCAATAGCAAAATCTATTCTCTGCATGAAAACACTGGGAAAGGAGTTTTTGATGTCAAAAGTACAAAGGCAGGAGCCTTAGGACTTGGGACAGGTGAGTTATTAATGACTGTTCTCCTTAATGCAAAGTCTGAGAGTAAGGCTCACTTTGTAGTAACCTTCCCTAAGGGGAGACAAAAAAAAAATAAAATAAAAGTTCTTACCCCTCTAGCCACTCAGTTTTGAAACCTTGTTGAAATTAGATTAAGGATAGGTGACAGTGGTAAAAGAACATGCTTTCCCCCTTACCCCCACCTTTGGTCTGTTCCTATGGCATTGGAATAGGTTGCCCAGAGAGGTGGTGGAGTCACCATCCCTGGAAGTGTTTAAGAGGCATCTGGATCTGGCACTGGAAGATATGGGTTAGAGGTTACAGCGGAGTAGCAGGTTAGTGGTTGGGCTTGATGACCTTAGAGGTCTCCTCTAACCCTGACAAGTCTGTGATACAGTCATGCAAATTTTGTGTCCTTACAAATCTGAAATTTTGATGTGTATTGTTTCACATATGACACAGAAATAAAACTGAATCTAAAGAAATCACATGCCTAAATCTAGGAGGAAAAATACCATAGAGTCTACTTCACAGATACTCTATTTAATTTGTATCAGTAATAACCTGACACCAAACTCTTCCTTTACTCAACTGAAATACTACCAAAAGCCAAAACGTTCATAGGTGTGTTCCTAGTATGTATAGAATTTCCACTTAGTCTGGTCAGAATTATAGTCCCTGACTATGGTGGCTTGGCCTTGGATGGCTGCCAGATGCCCTCCTAGCCTCATGCTCTCTGCTCTTCCCCTCCCATGTTAACACAAACTTAGAGCAGTTAAGCAGAAGTCATATTCAACTAGCTGAAGAAATATTTAATACAGTTCATAAACCAGAAAGTTAAGTTTTATATTCATTTTCTGAAATCACTAGCTTTCCAGAGCTTCTGAAATCTAAAAATCACAGTTTGGATGACATAAAGCAACTGATTTTCAACATATAATCTGCTACCTCTTTGGCAGAATGAGAAAAAAAAATACAGGCCCTGGGCTACTTCTATTTGGGCTCTTAGGGTCTGTGAAGGGCAATTGAGATAGCCTGATAAGGAAGTCCACATCTCTGCTGGAAGAAGCAAATAATCAAAACAAGGAGTCAGATGGAATCAGGTGTACACTGTGCTAAAGCAGCAAGACTCCCTGAGGGCACCTCACATAAAATTAATGGTCCAAATGAAAACTAAATGGGAATTAAGAAAACCTGTAAGTTAAGATGTCTTCAATTGCAAGTAGAATTCAGTAAGATTGTTAACTCACCCTCAAATTTGAATTCTGGAAACTTGGTTAGATCTCCCTCACCATATGCCCGTTGGAGTCTGACAAGAGATTCATTCATGTCTTTCTGGAATTCAGGTCCAGCATCCACAGGCCCTCCAGCTTGCCTAAAAAAACATTAAAAGTTGTGATAACAACTCAATTCTAACATTTCATGTGGAAGATCTACATTTTCATGGCCATTTATGAATTAAAAGCATTTGTGACAACAAAAGGAAACCATTTAAGATATTTCTAAAAGTCAAATATGACACACCTTATGGCCTCCTTACCTCACACACAAAGTTCTCAGGGTAAAGTACAGGCTTTCTACCATCAGTGATGAAAATCCAAGCTACAGAGGTAACCTTCTGAGACATAACACTACACCCAATGTCCAGACTTCAGGGCTCTTAGTTTCAATTGTTCCAGGTGTGAATTCCTAACAAAATTGCGATTTCAACCTCTACTATCTCTGAATTAGTCGTTTTGGTTAGGAAAACTTAAGTGTTCTCGCAAAGAAAACATGTTTTTGAATACTACTAAAGCAAAAAAGAAAAAAAAAACACAACAGAAATTTCTTGGGACACAAATATAAAATAATTTAAAATAGCAACTCAGTTGTACTAGCCCAGTTAACACCAAGGACTGATAAATCCACCAAAAATCTGCCTCCCCTACACAGACTGATTTATAGGTGTGAAAACACATCCTCCACCAGTAAAGCTAAGAAGTGGCTTGTTTCCCTCCCAAGAATAATTTACATAGTTTTAGTTTCCTGTTCATTCAAACATTACAGGAATCTAAGACTTCATTTGAATTTAACTGGTGTTAAATGAATTGCACTGACAATTCCATGAATTCCTAATTTCTTGTGGATGCTATTTCCATTCAGTTTCCAGAAACAATACTCAAGAAAAATTGTTTTTCCTAGACAAAAAAAAAATTAAAGAAAGGGTTTGTTTGGCTTTTTGTTCTATTTACAGAGCACATAGATGAGCAAAAATTAACAAACTGGTATATTCATGTAGTGTGCAAGACACTTTCACTGAGTGCCTTAACTCCCCAAGAATGACATCAGCTTTTTTCTCTGCAGTAGGACAAGAGGGCACAGACTCAAGCTCTGCCAGGGGAGGTTCAGGTTGGATAGTAGGAAGAGACTTTTTATGGAGAGAGTAATCAGACACTGGGATGGGCTGCCCAGGGAGGTGGTGGATTCACCATCCCTGGAGGTTTTCAAGATGAGACTGGATGTGGCACTTAGTGCCATGGTCTGGTAACCACAGTAGGGTTGGATCTTTGAGGTCTCTTCCAACATGGTTGATGCTATGATTCTAAGGGGGAAAATAGGGCATTTTCTGTTAGGTTCTGTTAAGTTCTTGCAACAACAATCCTTCTCACTGGTGACACTATGAGTAAATGCTGCAGGAAAACACACCCGAAGTATTTACAGAACAATGTACAGAGCTCTCGGTTTTAAAGCCTTTGCCAAAATCAACAGTTTTACCCCTTTTTGCCATTAGTTCCCCCTTCAAATAATTCCCTTTGCTCACTTGCTCTTCGTGTTGTACTCTCTGATCTTGTCCAAGAACAGCTTCTGGACTGGGTCGAGCTCTTTTGTCTTGTTGAAGACAATGGCCGAGAGCCCTATGTTCCTGCGCAGGTGGATGGAGACAGCGGAGCGGAAGAGGGAGGAAAGCCGCAGGATCTGCCGCAGGATCATGATGGCACTACTGCTTCAGCCTTTAAAAAACCAACAAAACGGGTGTATAGAATTAGTTACCGCAACATAAACACACTAAAAAAATAAAGCTTGGAGATAAACTTTAAAGCAAAAAAAATGGGTACTTATATCAGTCTGGGAGAGAACTCTGAACACGGGGGCCCTGCTCCGCCACCCACCTTGCCCGCACCACCCAGACAAGCAGGGAAACGCAGATTTAAGGAAACGCCTTGCTTAAGGAAAGGAAATTCAGCCCCGCAGGGGCGCCA